TTTGACATCTGACTTTTACATAACCACTTGTTTATATTTCAATGACATTAGGATATTTTCTAAGTTCAATCCAAGACAATTCCAATACGAAGGAGAGGACAACATGTAGCAAGCAACAAGAGTGTATATAAACTGTTCATAGAATGAAACTGACCTTTGTGTCATTAGAATGAAAGGTTCCTTTTATGAATGAATATAAACAATTCATTGTCAAGAAATAATGGTTAAATATGGCAGCTCTTCTAAACGTACATATCTTGGCAATTGTCAAAAGTCTTTTAGCATGTTCAGAATGTGGTATCTGTATATACAAAGAAATTTTTATCTGCAGTAAATTTTAAAAAAAATATTTTTTATTCCGATAGAAAAGATGGCAAATTCATCTCGAGTAAACAAGTACATGACAGAAGTCACAAGATAAGTTAGCTCCATTCGCATATTTGATATTACTTCTACAATTTTGAAAAGTCTACATTTGACAAAATTTTGGAAACATATGCACCAGTTAAGTTTGCTGTTGTTAGAAAAGTGGTGCAACTTTTGAAGACTTATACATTGACGGTATGTTGACAGTCAAAGGAAAATTTTGACAGAAAGTTCTCAAAACTCGAAGAAAGGTAAAGCATACAAACTTGTTATATCCTTATGAAACCAAAGAAAGGCAGCGACTATGAATATTATGGTCTAAGTAGTTGAAGTTCAAGGTTAGTTGGGTGGTAAAAAGTATTTTAGAGTCTAAGCCAGTGTTTACTCCTAAAGAGAGAAGAGAACATTGACATTGACCCAGAAATGTTCTCTAAAAATAAAATTTTATTTTTACATGTCAATTTTTTTTTCTCTGGACTGGTTCAGTTCTTTCTTCTCCTACTTTTTTCTCTTTTTTTCTCTCTTCTTCTTTTCTGGTGGAGATATGTCAAATTTTCTCAAACCATATTTATGTAAAAGTTCTTTGTCCTTTAATAGCTCATCTATTCTGTTTTCTATTTCATCTTCAAGAAAGCAGCGCAGTGTTTTCTTTGCATTCTAAGAACTTTTGTTGGACTTCATCTTTCCAATCGGCGTCATCTCTGTCAACAAGTCTGTCATTGACAAAATTTTAAGGACTGCTCTTTGTAATGTTTTATGGTTCTTGTCATATTCCAGAAACAGAACTTTAGACAAAATTCACCTTCTTGTTTACACTATGTAAGATTTATGGTCGAAGAGTTTTGCTGCTCAAAAAGTTTGTCGCGAATATAGATAGAAATCGCTAGACATTTTCTAAAAGATAAAAATTTTAATTTTTCTAAAAATATGTTAGAAAAAAAGTTTGCTGACATTGACAAGAAATTTGAGAATGTTTTTAAATAAGAACAAGGTGAAGTTAGAAAATGCTCAGATAAAGCCTATACATGACAAGTTCTTATTTGCTCAGAATGGTATAACAGGTCTAATTGCACCACCTGGGTCGGGTAAGACTTTCACTTATCTTAAAATGGCTGCACAACAAAAGAAACTAGATGAGAAGAACCCATTCTATGAGTTAGTTGTTATTTGTTCGACTTCTGGTCAATTTGACCAAACCGTCAATTCGTTCAAAGATATTATAAAGAAGTCTAAGTTAGTATGTATAAAGGATACTGAGTTGTTAGATTGGATAAAGAAGTACCAAAGAAGAGTTTTGAAGTATAATGCTATAAATGAGTATATAAATTCTAAGTTTAAAGACCCAAATGAGGAAATGCAGAGAATATTAGAGAAGAAAACACTTCAGAAACAAACAGAAAGAGATAGAATACATTTCGAAGAATTGCAATCTTACGATTGAAGACTTACCCTCATAGATGTCTTCTTATCTTAGATGATTTCGCCTCTCATCCTTTGTTAAAGAACAGAGAACAAGATATGTGTCGAATTCTTAAGAAGCTCAGACACTTTAACATCTCAGTTGTCATTTGTGTACAGACAGCAAAGAGTTTAAGTAAGGATGTTAAAAGAATACTTACTGACATAATACTTTTCCCCGGATTGTCCGAAGACGATTTCATGGAACTTATGAAAGAGTCCATGGCAGGTAAGTTTGACAGACATGAACTATGGGAGAAGTACAAAGTCATACAAGACCCTCATACTTCTTTCAGAATTCATATCTACGCAAACAAAGTTCAAATTGTAAAAAGTCAAGCTTGAAAAATAAATGGTTCATCTACCCTACTTGTTTGAAGTTGTCAAAATACTCTGTTATTTTTTCTTTCAGTAGTGGTAAGTCTTCTTTGAAGGTAAGTATTGTACAACTTTTCATATCATAGTGTGTTTGAGGTAACGTATCTTGAACTATTTGTTTCACATCTTCATTTGGGGTCATTGAAATCGGTAAGTTTTCGCGATAGAACCAATTTCTGTCAGATTTGTAAATCTTAGCAAGGTCGTAAAAGCTCTTGTTGTTTCTTCTGACTAAATGCAACATAACCATATCTCTGTCTTCTTCATTTTCCATCTCTTCAGTATAAATCATATACTTATAGTTCTTTTCCTTTCCTTTTGGTACCGAACGTGGTATTCTTTTCTGTATGCTTTTGTCTTTTGCTTCAATGACTTCATCTTTTGCATGAAGTTTCTTTTCCATCTCTTCACGTTCTTGTCTGTGAAGTTCATCTAACATCATGAAAATATAACAAGCATAACGAGGTGAAGCCCACATTGCTACAGCATTTACTAAAAGTCTATGAACATAATATCCTTTCAAACCAGGAGCCAAATTCTTGCGATTTTCATACGGAATCTCTTCTCTCGGTTTTCCGAGGGAAGCAAGCATATGAGGAAATTCTTCTAAAAGTTCTTTTGTCTGTTGGTTTTCAAACCAATGATATGCTTGCTTTGTAGAACGAAGAGCATTCAAAATACTTTGCATTTGGTACATATCGTCTTTGACCGAACGAATGAGACGGAGTTGTTTGTTAAACTGTATGTACTCGTATTCTTCATTTATAGCTTCATGGACTATAACTGTTGTTGTGTTCTCTGTTGTTGACATATCTGTCTTTACATACAAAATAAAAAAATAAATAAAAATAAAACTAACTTTATTTTTTCTATCTTAAGGAAATTCATGATTTTTGTGCTGAATTCAGCAAAAATATATTTTAGGTGAAGAGGTGAGATTTCACCTCTTTTTTCACCTGTTTTTTCACCTCATTTCTACCCCAGTTATTTTATAAACGTTTCACATGGTAAACGTTATTTTTTAAATTTTGTGAAAACTCAACGGTTTGACACAAGCCATATGCCATTTTACTCAGAATTTTGTTGCTGAATTCAATAAAAATATATTTTAGGTGAAGAGGTGAGATTTCACCTCTTTTTTCACCTCATTTCTACCCCAGTTATTTTATAAGCGTTTTACATGAATTGTACGATGTATATTTGAAATCCTAAACAGTTTCGTAGCTTCTATTTCTTCTTTTAGTACATCGAATGTTTTAACAATGCCGAAAGTTTCTTTTCCATCTCTTCACGTTCTTGTCTATGAATTTCGTCAAGAAGTCTGTAAATATACCAAGCATAACGAGGCGAAGCCCACATTGCAACAGCATTTACAAGAAGTCTATGTACATAATATCCTCTCAAACCGTTTGGCAATTTTTCACGATTTTCATAGAGTTTTGGTGACTGGGGTTTTTTACCTACTCGCTGTTCTTCACTGTTTTCAAGAAAAAAAGTATGTCTCGCTGTGCTTCGCAAAAGTTCTTGTGTGCTTTGGTTCCTAAACCAGTCTTTAGAAGCTTAGTATCTGGAGCATAACATGCTGTCAAAATACTTTGCATTTGGTACATATCGTCTTTGACCGAACGAATGAGACGGAGTTGTTTGTTAAACTGTATGTACTCGTATTCTTCATTTATAGCTTCATGGACTATAACTGTTGTTGTGTTCTCTGTTGTTGACATATCTGTCTTTACATACAAAATAAAAAAATAAATAAAAATAAAACTAACTTTATTTTTTCTATCTTAAGGAAATTCATGATTTTTGTGCTGAATTCAGCAAAAATATATTTTAGGTGAAGAGGTGAGATTTCACCTCTTTTTTCACCTAATTTTTCACCTCTTTTTTTCACAAGCGTTTTACATGAATTGTACGATGTATATTTGAAATCCTAAACAGTTTCGTAGCTTCTATTTCTTCTTTTAGTACATCGAATGTTTTAACAATGCCGAAAGTTTCTTTATACTTCTTCTTGACATCAGATAGAAGGAAATCGTCAGCAGTTGGATAGTTTTTGTTCAGAAATTCTAACATGTCCATTTTATCTTCTACCGGCTTCTCTGCTTCTTTCTTTAAATCTGCATAGTCGTTTCTCATTCTTTCTATCTCTTTGACGGAGTAGTTATATCTCCTCATTGCCGCTTTACATTTAGAACATTGCGGGTTCATTTTTGCGTTATATTCTGAAACCTTACCTGCTAAAACAACTAAGGCGTCAATGGTTTTCTTTAAATCTGAAGCAGTTGGTTTTATCTGTTCATTCCATACCTTACCTCTTCTATCTTTATCTCTTATCTGCCATACACATTTTGCAGCTAATGAAACAAAGTTGACGTATGTCTTAAACTCCACCGATTTATATATGTCAGAGATGTTCTTATATAACATGTCGCAATCTTTGTCCATAACTTTATGGTTGCAATGAAAACCAAGGAATTCATAATTTACCTTTCGTATGAACTTCTTTATTTCTACTGAGTCAGTTGCTTTGACTTCAATTTCGTCGAATTCAGGAATAGTTAGTTTTTGCTGCTGAATTTCAGGTAGTTTAGGCAAATGGTCGATGAGGTCCTCCATTTCATAAAGATACTGTTCATTTGTTTCATCTTTCGCACTACAGTCTAAATTACTTGTTAAAAGTTCCTGCTTTATTCTTTGTATTTCTGTTTCGAAAGTATATGAAGAAGGAATGAAGCTTTTCATTTCTACTAACATAGATGTTGGATTCATGACTAACGAGTTTGGTGCTGTTGTTTGAATTGTTGTTGTGCCGATTGTTGACATATCTGTTCTTACATACAAAATAAAAAAATAAATAAAAATAAAACTAACTTTATTTTTTCTATCTTAAGGAAATTCATGAAAATTCAAGAGGGTGAAAAAACAGGTGAAAAAAGAGGTGAAATCTCACCTCTTCACCTAAATTATATTTTTGGTCCGGGAACAACTTTCTCTCAATTGGAGCTGTAGCATACTCTTTGCGTAAGCGGTTCAGACCTTCTTCGAAGTCTTGGTCTCACTTGGACTGAGATTGGAATTGGAATTGCTGGGGTGGAGCTTGCTGGAACAACCAAGGGTGGGGCAGTAAGGCATAGGCTGAGGAGGGTAGTTCGGGAAGCCTTGTGGTGGGTAGTAACCTTGAGGTGGAAATTGGTAGTAATTCGGAGGTACTTGCTGGAACTGAGGTTGCTGAGGAGACTGTTGTGGTTCTTTAGGTTCCTCTGGTTTGGGAATGGACTCGGTTGGTGGGAAGTCGGACATTCGTTTGTGTCCTGTCGGACCACAACGATAAAAATCTCTGCTACTAGCAGTACTTTTACTAACAGTAGCAGTACTTTTACTGACAGTAGCAGTACTTTTTCTGACAGTAGCAGTACTTTTTCTGACAGTAGCAGTACTTTTTCTGACAGTAGCAGTACTTTTACTGACAGTAGCAGTACTTTATCGTCGAAAACCCTCTCAAATTTTCCTTTTTACTGACAGTAGCAGCAGTTTTACTGCTACTAGCAGTACTTTTACTGACAGTAGCAGTACTTTTACTGACAGTAGCAGTACTTTTACTGACAGTAGCAGTACTTTTTCTGACAGTAGCAGTACTTTTTCTGACAGTAGCAGTACTTTTTCTGACAGTAGCAGTACTTTTACTGACAGTAGCAGTACTTTATCGTCGAAAACCCTCTCAAATTTTCCTTTTTACTGACAGTAGCAGCAGTTTTACTGCTACTAGCAGTACTTTTACTGACAGTAGCAGTACTTTTACTGACAGTAGCAGTACTTTTACTGACAGTAGCAGTACTTTTTCTGACAGTAGCAGTACTTTTTCTGACAGTAGCAATGGTCGAGGTCGAACCTACCGACGAGGCAATTTACCTAATTGAAATTAACGAGCTTGTTAAAGACTTCCTCAGGCAGAATGTAAAAGGCAAGCTTGTTAACGGTTGGATAACGGGAAGGGCTGCCTTGAATCTCGAGACTTCGACTGGAATTCCAATTCAAATACCAGACGGGACAGCCTACGACGACATAAAGCAAGCAAAGAAGGAAGCCATTATAAAGTTCTTTGCCAAGCGTCCTTGGATACTACTTCCAAACAGAGAGAGTCCAATTCCACGAATTATACAAATTCTCAGAGCACTGTTCCACTTCTCGGGTCGGCCGTTCTACATAACCTCAGAAGGCGACATTCAGCCAGTTCAGTAAACATCTCATTTTAACTCACTTTTTTTATGTTTTTTGTGAAAGTGTCAAAAATAAAATGTTTTCATGAGTTTTCTACGATGTTAGAAAAAAATGTTATTTTCTAATATCTTCACATTCAATACTTTTTCAGCACTTTTCCGTAGTTATATATGAAAGACAATTCGAGATAAAAGTCATAGTACAATGGAATAATATGTTGCACACCATTTGTTGTGAACCAAACTTGAAAGTCAGAGAAACTGTTACTAGATGGTTCGTAGAATTTAGAAGCAAAGTCATAAAAGTCCTTACCAATACATAGAAAACTATTGTTGCTTGAACTGAAACTTGCATGACACATAACATTTTGAGGGTCAAACACGTTTCTATAAACTGTCAAATCTGCTGGTGGAAGTATAAATTTAAATGGACCATCTGGTGGTAATGGTTCGTTCTGGTTTAGTAACCGAAGAAATTGTGCCCAAGAACGTTTGTCTACTTTCCAAAATAAAAACTCTGTATCTCTTGGAGGGTTAATTTCAATCTTTTGAAATGAAACGGTGGAGTTCATCTTGTCATATTCTAGTTTCAGATAGTATGTTCCATTTAGTAAAGAGTCGTATTTTTTGAAATTCCCAATAATATTTGTTCATTTGAGTTTGAAAGTCATTTAGAGTTTTCTCAAGACTTTCGTCTGAACGAACTGTAAAGATTCTCATTTCGTCAAATTTGTCTATTAGACCATCAGAACCTTTATACTGCCCATGAAAATATACTGCGAACATAAATGCGTTAGTTCTATTTGAAAACAAAACTCTTCTAAATCCTATTGCCTTTGCATCTGAAGGACTTTGAAGCCAACGAATTGGATAGTCAAACCTGTATGCTCGGGATGAAATTTCTTCATCTGAAATAGTCCTACCAGCATTTGTAAAGATATAGTCTAACGGTTTTGTATCTGCTACTTTTGTTCTTTGTTTTTCAACCTGAAGCATTTAATATATGTAAAAATATATTGTTTTAAAATGGTATGCCATTTCATATTTCTCATCTAACAAACAAGTTTCCCAACGGTCGTCTCCAACAAACTCAGCGTACATTTCAAATAAAATAAAAAAATGTCACTTTTTTAAAAATAAATTTTTTTACTTCATGCAATGTTTTATTTCTGTGCCGTCTTCAAGTATGCCCCAATATTTCCTTTTCGATATTACATGAACTTCGGAAAATACCTTATCTAGCTTAAAACAGCCCATCTTTTCACCGACCATTCCCATTTCAATGAGTTTGTTATAGCCTTCTTCGTTCGTCATGAGTGCGTCAATGTTCTCATAGTAAACCTTCACTTTGGATTTGACTTCGGAGAAGAATTTGTAGTTGTCAAGGACTGCCTTTGCGAACTGAGGGTAAGACCAATGTTCGACAATAGGTTTTAATGTGGTTACTAAGCCACTTTGACCTTGAGTGAATTCGTACTTCAAAACAAAAGGAGAAAACCTTTCAACAAAGTTGTCGACCTTCTCATAATGTTTACTCTTCATCTCTTGAGGTTTCTTAATGGAATATCCCCATGTCGAATTCATAAGCAATTTGAGTGTCATTGCAAGTTTGGGGTTTGAAGCTTTCCTAATATCATACAGTTGTTGTATGACTTTTCCAACTGTATAGTTCCTTCCCGGGAACTCACCATCTTCGTTTGGAATTCCAGTCGGAATATATTGGACAAACCTCATGTATGCAGCGTTAAGGTCGACATAGTATATCTTTCATCTGAGTCGAACTTGTCGCAACCAATTGGTCCAGTTTGTGGAAATTCAAGTGAGTCTCTTATCTTCTGAGAAACTTCTCCTGTTATCTCATAAACATCGTCGAAGCAACCTGTTTCATATAAAACCTTCTGACCTAACTCAGATGCTCTCCAATACAATTTGACGTCAATTGGATGTCTCAATGGAAGTTTGTTTATAGCATCTTGAAGTTCTTGCAACCTCATTGGAAGTTCTTCTGGTTCAGGTTGGTATCCGAACATACCAACCCCTTGTGGAACTGTGTACTTCTTTTGTACTAGAACTTTGTCTGGAACAACTTTTGGTCTTGCTAACAATGAAAAGTTTGTTTCGTCTTTTGGTATAAAACTTTCTGTAAGCTTGTCATCTGGAATTGGTTCCAACAAACCTTTCTCGAAAAGAATGTTTACAGCTCTGACAATGTTGCATTTACTTTTACCAAAGAATGGGTTTGTAAGACTTTCGTTCAACATGAAGTGGTTGTGGACAATTACAATCTTCAACCATGGTAAGTCTTTGTCAACAACATAGTCGTCATGTGAAGAACCTTTAGCTGTAGGTATGTTGACTCGGATATTGACATTTGCCAACGGTGCAATTTTTGCCAATTGACCTCTGAGAATGTACCTTGTCTTCACACATGACTCAAGATACTTCATCTTCTCATCTGTAACAAGACCAGAGTTCCTGAGACATGTAAGAATGCAAGGTTCATTGACAATTGTTTCAATTGAATTGTAAATTCCATACCTTGTCAAGTCAATGTCAGACTTATTTATGAAGGGGAAGTATCCAGCATGTTGTCTGACTGCTTGAGGGTTAGGTTGGTACCATTCGAACTTGACACTTGCAATTCCTTCAATTGCATTCAAAATGTCTGAGTCGGAGTCAACCATTTGTTCTCTCTTTGTAGTCTTGAAAGCGTCAAGAAGTTTTGCGGCTGTTTGTTCATTGCCATGTGCATAGTAAATGTGACCATCCAAATCTGTTATGGTCAATCTGAGATTGTGTCCTTTCTTATTTCCGTCTTGAATTGCAGCAAGTACACCCATGAAGCCTTCTTTGTTCTTTCCTTCGTCAAAGTTTACTGTAAAGGTTCGACCAGATGTAATTTGACTTCTAACTTCACGATACTTTTCATATGCATATCTTGTTCTTTCCATGGAGCATGTGCGTCTTCACCTTTTCCTTTTTCCTTCTCAAAGGATGCAATTGTTCGTCATGTTTCCAGTAGAATCTGGCAAAGCCGTCGTGTCCTTCAACTTGAGGTTCACTAACATCGAAAGGCATGTCCATAAGACGTTCTTCTTCTAACCTCTCTAGTCTGTTTGGATAATTGGCACGTGCTGTTTCCAAATCCATTTCGTAGCGAAGACCAGACAATTTGTCATAGACTTTTATGGGTCTTCCCTTCCTATATTTAAAATTCTTCGAAACTCTCCAACCATATCTTTGTAACTCTGCTTTTATTCTAGCAGACTTTCTATCCATTCTATATGGGGGCATTTTTATAAAAATAAAAAAATATTTTTTCTTTACTTTACATAACCGCCTGCTGCCATAAGTCTTTGACGCCAACCCATACCAGCTAATGAAGGTTGACTTGGTTTAGTTTGGAAACTAAACTTTGGTTTTGGTTTATCTTCAGTTTTTGTTTTTCTTCTTCTATCGGTTTTTCGTCACTTTTTGGTTCCTCTGACTTTACTTCACTTGCAGGAACAGTTGTGTCGTCAACATCTTCATAAATATCATATGCCATTTGTTTTTGTTTTCCTTTCAACTTTTTGTGTTTGTTGTAAAGTTTAGAATATTTCGACTCTAAGTCAATGAGATGTTCTATAATGAACTGTTGGTCAGTAAAGTAAACTTTTCCATCTGTTGTCTCGAAAGCTCCTTCAGACTTCAGTATTTTATTTGTGAGAGTTGTTTTTTTTTGAGATACTAGCCGTTCCATTTCTATGAAAAGTGACTTTATAGTTAGGGTTTGTATTTCCAGACCTGGCACTTTCTATTATTGAATTTTTCTCTTCATCTGTAAGTTCTTTGACAGGTTTTGACAATGATTCTGAACTTTTTGTTTGTGGTGTCAAATCTACCGTTTCAACTTCTTCGGTCATTTCATCTCAGTAAAAAAATTTTAGTTTGGTTTGTTTTCAACTGGTTGTTTAGGTTTTTTAAGTCGGTCTAAAACTTCCTGAGGTATAGGAAGAACTTTACAAACACGTGGTGTAACTGCTGGAAGCCGACAAATCCATCTTGAACTCATTTGTCTCAATGCTGTATTGTTCATTTCAT